CCGAGCGTTGTCATGAAGCAAAATCACTTTATGCTGTCTCGTTTCATATTCTCGTCGTTTTTCGTGCAATGCTCGGCTCAAACGGATCATTTGTTCTCTGTAGAGATCCCCTGTGACTGTTTGACCACTTTTCAACAGCTCATGGTGCAACACACCCTTCTGATCCCACCACATACAGGGCATTGTCTTCTTTCCGTGGATATTCCGCTTTGGCGTCGATGTTGAGGTTTGGCCGGGATCGCAAATAGTTTTTCGACGTTTGGGATTGTCAAAATAAATCCATTTTCCATCCCCAGTGATGATACGATGTGAAAATCCCTTTCTTTGTTGCCTAGCGAGCAGAATTTCGCAGGTGGTTTTTCGCCTTTCAACGTCTCTTGGCTTCAGTTCATACGGGACCCATTTTTCTTCCTTGTAAATCTTTCCTAAGGTTCTCAAATGATCGGAAATGACAGATTGAGCACAATTTAATGTTTCTGCAAGTTGCTTTTGCGTTTGACATGGGTCTTCGTCCATCAATGCCTGTAATTCTTCGTCTTCGAATACTCTTGGCCGTCCAGAACGCTCTTTGTCCTCTACATCAAAATCACCAATTTTAAAGCGTCGAAACCATTCTCTGCATGTTTTATCGGAAGGGGCATTATCACCATAAACTTCTACAAGCATTCGATGAGCTTCAGCTGCAGTTTTCTTCCAATTGAAGCAAAAGATTAACACTTCGCGTAAATGACGCTTATTTGGCTCAAATTTCGACATTTTCGATGCAGTGAAAAATAATGTTATTGATGTAAACGTATACTTTTATGTACTGAATGTTATTGACAGATGTCAAAACAAACTATTAAGCTTCGTTTAGACATTACAGGTTAACGACAGTTCTAGCTATAACTACTTGTCGCTAAACGGACGGAACTTTCCGATTTACCTAATAATTCTCATCCGTCCAAAACGAATTATTCACAAAACAAGCATACAAAGCACACTATGTGTATCTTCTCTGAGAAAAGATTCTGAAAGATAATTCAACTTGCGTTGATCGTCAAACGAAATGTCACTCCTGTTATAGTTTCTGTAACTGGCTAATCTGCGAGCGATATATTTTAATGCGTTTGTCACACGCGCCCCCAAAAACTTTCTGCCGTGAAGTAACTTTGACTACGCCATCACCTCCTTACTTAATGCACCTCTTTGTTTGATGCCACGCGATCCTTTTATCCTGAATTATTTTTCGTTTATTTCTCCATGTTTGACAAGTTCGACGAGAGCTTTGCCGAGATTTTGGTGAAAAGTGGATGCACACATCGAAATCAGCCGCCATTTTATTGGCTCTTCAAAGTTTGCGAATACTACGAAGGAGCGAGTCAGATCGTCGAAATGTAATCGAAATACACTATTTTCTATCAAGTGGTCTTTCTTTCGTGTCTATATCCTCCTCTGCAATGAGGAATAACGAAAGGTCCTGAAATAATTCATGTTTAGAGAATACACCTTTAAAAAAATTCCTTCGGTAGAAATCTTCGAGTGTAATTTCATCAAAATTTATGATCCTCTGTAATCTTGTAACAACTTAGGAAGACGAAACAAAAAGTCAGTATCTTTCTGAATCTGAATATTCCGAGTCGAAATGTGTTTTTCATCTTTGCACTTCGGTTTTCTCCGCACTGCGTTTGAAATTTAACTTTCACTTCCATATTTTGAACAGCCGGATCAATATTTTTCCCGATCCCACTTAACTTGATAAAATTCTGTTCAAATCTATCAAATTCTATTTGGATTTGAATTTTCACAAAGAAGGAAATTTGACTTTCTCCTCAATTATATTAATTTAAATTTTCATCTCGCGACTCTCTCTCTCTCTCTCTCTCTCTCTCTCTCTCTCTCTCTCTCTCTCTCTCTCTCTCTTTTACTTTCTACTTACTCTAGGAAAACCGCGAGTAGGAGCTCGAATCTCCCATATAAATTAAATCCGATGTGTAATTCTCTAGGGATTGTGAATATTGGAAAATTAAGATCAAAAATAGGTAACAGCAGAATCTTAACTTGAGATCTGATAAGATGCATTCGGGGTTGGTCAAACAAGAGGTAATTGGGATAGTGAACGGAAAGACGAATAGCGCAAAGTAATGGAAAAAGAAAGAAAGAAAGGAAGAGAGAAGTGAAGATGTCGAGAGAAGAAGAGGATGTGTGAGGGCACTCGTTAAAATTTCAAGTTAGAATATCGAACGGTTTATAGAGGTCGAGTACAGGCGCGTGTATACGTGTAATTCTATATATTGCGCGCACATACGTATATGTATGTGTATCGCCGTTGTGTAGAACGGGGTCTCTGATTGTATGTCAGTGACAATTATAAATGTTTCGTAGGATAAGGTTTGGCGGACGCCGGATAATATTGTAATAACATTCAGATGCGTTATTTACGTATTTATGCGCGAAGAGAGAGGAATTTTATATATCCGTGCTTTTTTCATATCGACGTAACATCGATGTAACAATCACAGTCACTGTGTAATCAACAATCAACAATCTCTCACATAATCGTCTCAGTCAATCGACAGATAATCGTTAAAAAATATAAAAGAAACACAATTTCCCGATGAAAGAAAGAGTATTTTCCAATCTGTCATTTAAACTCTGAATCCGGTTCGTGATCGCTGTGCTTCTCTTCGTCGTGATTACATTTTGTCTATGTCTATATTTTGTATGTATATATTTTGTCTATATGTCAAACAGATTTGATTAATATTAATCGTAAACGTGAGGCTTTATCTTTTTAACGCGATTACCGATCTGAAATATTACACAAGAGATTGATACCGTGAGACTCTTTAATCGAAATGCGCGAAATTATACGGAAGTCCTGATTGAGCAATATGAAATTCTGATGTGCGGAAACAGCAGCGAGTGTCTATCGCGAAGATTGAATGCACTCGCGTATCGTCGAAATATTTATTTCGACGATACAAACGTATATTACGACGATCCTCTTCAATCTACTTTCGAAGGTTAGTCGACTCCGACGTGTCCCTTCTTCACAGTCATAGATAATACTTTACGTCTGTCACAAGTCTTATATTGTACACATATATGGTACATATACATGTACATATTAATCTGAGTTCATATATCCAGCATTTCTTACATAAATAAAAGTGTCCACGCGAAATCATATTTGAGAGTGATTCGAATATTCGAGCAAATGTTAATAAATCAATCATTTGGCCAATTCGTCGAGCTTCTTCGGAAAAATATTCTGATCGGCATTACGCAGCATGTTATATCGGAGAAACTTTGGCGTTACTATACTTTCTTCATCCGCTGTGTATCGTGAGCCGTCTTGGCTTCCACGTACCGTGTAAATCTGCGTTTCAAGTGGCAATTTCCATCTAGCAGACGCGCACGCGATTTAAAGGAGTATAAATCGAGATACCGCGATATCGTGAAAAAGTCGTGTCGAGTGAATTTTACGGATAATCGAATTAGACACAGGCATGTAATACGTTTGCGTGTACAATGAAACATAATGCAAACTTTTATGGCTTATAACTGGCTTTAACGGAGGCTCGTTGTAACCAAGTGTATGATTAAGGGATATTAAAGGAAAATCGAAAGATAAAAAAATGTTTCGTTCGACGAAATTCCGTTAATGAGGATCGATCGTACGTCTCAACTAGAGATGTGCGAATCGAATCGAATCGAATCGAATCTCATTTTTTAAATCCGAATTCGAATCGAATCGAATCTATGAAATTTCATTCGAATTCGAATCGAATCAAATGAAATCGAATCGAATCATTAAAAAATTTAACATGACTATTAAACATGCAAATAATGATGGGAGTTTTTAATATGATAGGGAATATTAATATTGTAATATCATCTTAAAAAAAATATAAATATATATTTAAATATGTAAAGTAATTTATAATTAAGTTATTAATTATAAGTTAAGTTAAGGGTTCAAGCATACAGGCCCAGATAGCCCGTTTTGTAGTTGATGCGTGCAAACGCTAATTTATTTGATTCGTATCTGAATCTTCGTGAATTTTCGAATTATTCGGATTCGAATCGAATTTAATTACATTAGATTCGATTCGATTCGCATTTGAATAGTTCGCATATCTCTAATCTCAACGTTTATATCACATGAGAGGTATATATCTTCGTAAATTATTCTCATTCGTTAATGATTAACGGTTTTAAGTCGCTTATGTACGAGTTAGTTGTACGACATGATTAGCGCTGACTTGTTCCTACAGAAACCGCATTTACGAAATTATTAAAATTATTAAAAATTGTAAAGCAAAACTTATTAAAAATATAAAAGATTTTGTATGATTGCATCAAAAGTCGAGATTCTGATACTCGACACTAAACTCGTTAGAGAGCATTCTTTTCCATGATTCTGATGATACGTAGCATTTTTAGTCGAGAATCTGTTACACATGCGCGCGCGCACACATACACACACACACACTCTCTCTCTCTCTCTCTCTCTCTCTCTCTCTCTCTCTCTCTCTCTCTCTCTTTCTCTCACTCACTCATTCATTCATTCATACACTTTGCCTTTCTCTCAGTTGTTCCGGCTCAACATGGATTGTTCGTTAATTCTGCTACTAAGATTCTTTGACCTCGTCGATAGAAATGGCGCAATCAATCGAGAAAGAAGATATTCCATGACATGTTGTGAATATTTTTTCGTTGGTCCTTTCCCACTTTCGAAGAGGATATTAATACTCTATACGCAGTCGGTCGACTGTTGCTTCCATAACGAGTGATAACGGGCGCGCGTTGTATACGCGACGCGATGAAATCTCGCTTATTCGTATATCAAATGGACATACATGCACATAACATGAACATGTACTAAATAAATAAAACATAACTCTGCGGGTGGGGAGACGTATGTCTCAAGAAGGACTCTGCGATTTGTTTTTCCATCTCATACTCGTTTAATCTCGTCGAGATATTAATATAGTACCATCCATCGAACATGCTTATCTATTACCTTTGGTTTACAGAGATTTTTTTCTTCTTATCACGGTACGACCATTATCATAAAAGACACCACGTGTAAATGGAGAATTCTATAACAGAAATTTCGCATCGTCTTATCGTTATCTAATAATATCACGATATTTTTCAGTACGAAACGTGATCGCGCGCTTCTCACGGTTGATCTCGACCATTGTACATTCGCGCTGATCAGTAAGTCCGAAAATATATTTAATCGTTACATCGAGATCTCCTCAATACATTGACTGCTAAATAAGAGATATCTCATAGTTAACGTGCGAAAAGAATTTCTTCCTGCATACTGCTATATGCCAACCGAGATCGGTATCTGGAACCGAAATCAGACCAGACGAAATTAATTGGATTAATCTTTGGACGAGGATTTGACACATGCGTACGTTTTGAGATACGTTCAATGTTTCATTTTTAATTTGAACATTGTCGGCAAGACATAACCAATATTATTGCGAATAAATATTCACCATAAAAATCCCGAAAGGAGAAGAGAAATCTCGTCACACGATTAATGGACGTCATATTTACGTCGCTTCGAAATTACATTACTTTTCTTAGTTAATGTTAATACATTCCTCTCGAAATAGGAAACTTTTTTCAAAATTACATGAAACGTTTCAGTTTATCGCATACTGTCCGTAGCGCGAAACAAGTTAACAAATATCGGAATCAAAAATTAAATTCAATCAACAGATGCATATCTTAGATGTACGTACGCACGTAACAATGTATTAGAGATGTGCGAACTATTCGAATTCGAATCGAATCGAATTGAATCTAATGTAATTCGATTCGATTCGAATCTGAATTCCTATGATTCGAATCCGAATAATTCGAAAATTTCGAATCGAAGATTCAATTACGAATCAAATATATTAGCGTGCATTATATTTGCATGCATCAAGTACAAAACGAGACATCTGGGCCTGTATGTTTGAACCCTTAACTTGTAATTAACTTAACTTATAATTAATAACTTAATTATAAATTACTTTAAATATTTAAATATATATTTTACTTTAAGATGATATTACAATATCAATATCCCCTTTCGTATTAAAACCTTCCATCATTATGTGCATGTTTAATAGTCATGTTAAATTTTTTAATGATTCGACTCGATTCGAATTCGAATGAAATTTCATAGATTCGATTCGATTCGAATTCGAATTAAAAAAATGAGATTCGATTCGATTCGATTCGACATAAAAATTCTTGACTCGCACATCTCTACAATGTATTATAGTAAATGCAAGCTCACAACGAAGAAACGTCTTGGAAGATAGACTGTCATAAGCCACGTGTATATTGATATTATTTTTTTTATAATATTCCCCAGAGAGCCACGTGTTATTTTCTTTTCACTATTATTATAATTAATTATATACCTAATATATCCAAATAGTATTTGAATCGGATTTTGAAGTCTCCTGTGCAGCTCACACGGCACGATTCGCGAGTGCGATATCGCGGGTGGTCGGAGACACACCGTCGGTTGTCGTATCGCGTGTTTGCGTTGCCAATGTCTGACGGCAGAGGGACGGAACTTTTTCAGATATTCTTCCGGAATTGAAGCGTCGTCCGTGGAACTTAGGAGTGTCGTGTCATGTGACGTTTGTCCCCGGCCTTCGGCAAGGCTCCGCATGATCGTGGCGCATCTGGCGCATGTCATCAATAATGCAAGACAACGCGACACTACGATGAGCATATTCCTTATCGGTATCGCGCGGTTCGCGCTCCACGGACGAAGCCTCTAATCAAATTCTGGAATATGTCCATGACCGCTACGTGCGGTATAAGATAATAACCATAGGAAACTATACTTTTCCGCCGCTTATATATTCGTAGAGTCCGTACGTGCGCTTTGCTCACGTTGGAACTATGCTAAAGCAACTGCCAGTCAATCGAGCATCTCGGAAGATTAATAATCTTGACAGCTCATTAATTTTCCTAACGAATTAACGAGTTGGATGGGCGAGCCGTTGCATGTACTATATGTAGCATTAGAATTTTATCAAATGTAATGTTCAGTAGTTTCTTTTTCATTACATATATAAAGGATTTGTAAGAACCTGTACATTATAAGATCCGCGTGTACATCATAAACTCTCGCGGGCTATATTTCCTGTTTGATCCGTTATCAGTAGAATCTTTTTCAAATTTATTATTTTCATTAGACGCGCTTGGAAGAGATGTTGATCATTAATCGATTGAAATTTTGCTTGACTAAATTCCAAGATTATAACTATACAATCACGAAAATCAAAATTAACTTTGAATAAATCGTGATCACATATATTATCGCACGAAATGGAGAAACGCGTGAACCTTTGGAGAGTTTTTGACAGGCGAGAACGATACTGACTCGGGGAAGACAAAAGAGCGCGCGCATTTTTTGTAGAATTTCAAGCTATCAAAGTAGTGAAAATCTCTCTCTCTCTCTCTCTCTCTCTCCTCTCTCTCTCTCTCTCTCTCTCTCTCTCTCTCTCTCTCTCTCTCTCTCTCCCTTTCTCTCGGCTCGGTGAAGCGTTGCGTCGCGTCGCGTCGAGGATAATTTGATTCATGCGTCGTTTCCGCGTACACCAATTTGCCAGAATGATGTTTATTTAAAGGTCCGCGACGCGAATCGTCGCTCACCGAAATTTCTATCACGAGTAAGCGACATTTTTTTTTTTTCATTTAGCGACTACTCATACCACTTTGCGACCATTCGCTGTCTCACTGCTCGAGCGTCATTTTTCCGTGCGCGCGTACTCATTACACCGCGTGCGCGATATTCGATTCTCGAGCCTTGGTCGCGCCGGTGCATACCAACGAAAGTGTTAGACTCGAAACTCTAACGCCTACTATAGGCCGTTTTATACGGCCTTACCACGCAGATATACCGCGGAATTCGTTAATTATGAAAAAGGTCGCGTAATCGAGCATCGAGTAAAGACAGTTTGACGTGTCTAACAGCGGCCAGTCTGACATCCCGGCTGGCCCGTGGAAGTGCCGGATTCGCGTTGCTTCTCTCGTTGCTCGTCGATTCTTTTGTGAAAAGAATCTTCTCTGTGTCATTATCCTTTCCGTTCCATTCCTCCGCTCCTCTTTTTCTTCTTCATCTTTTTCTGACTGACTCTTCATCATCTTCGTGACAAGACGATCACCGCTGGCTCGGTTCGATCGCTCTCACTTCGCCACAGTCTTTGAAGATCCTCTAGGTTAGTGGTTCTTGATCGCCGCTTTCGGATCGTCGTTTCCGATCGAAGAGAATCTGCAACATCAACATGAATATCTTCTTCCTCGCGAGGCTGGTCCTGCAATCGCTAGGTGCTAAATGGCGGCGGCAGGTCAAAAGAGGGATCTTCAGGAAGTATCGATACCAGCGTGGTTTTTATTGAAGAGATCAATTCCGCTCATCCTCTCACGGCCAGGACGGCTGGTCGTTGGGGCACCCTTCTCACGTCCGCCTCATTGTGCATTGCTGCGGTCCAGCTGCTTGTTAAAGCAACCTGCTGCGGCTCGTTGAACCCATGAGGTGTGGTTATTCTCGCAGTGCACTACGAACAGGTCAAAACTGGTTCGTTAGTCACCGCTGCGTTTTTTCGGCCCGTTTGGTCTACGTCGCATCGATAGTTTCTCTCCTTTTTCTCCTCTATTCAACACACACGCACACACACACATACTCTCTCTCTCTCTCTCTCGCTCTCTCTAGTCGAGTGCAAAAGACATTTTTTTCGTGTTGTCGCGGTTTGGTCTTTATATGTTCCTTTTCATTCTCGCGGAAATTGGCGAGCAACCAAACAACCAATCAGCGCTTCAAATTTACCGTAGCGTTGATCGCTACACACACGCGCGCATACATAGTTCTCCTATTATTCTCATCCATCAATTACCACCTTCTACCGTCTCACTATCTTCTCGGTCTTCTCGGTGCTCAATCATAGCCCAACTCGAGCTATAAGCCAGATAAAATAAATATATCACGTCGATTTTGTGCTATTACCGTCCTTTACGTCGCCGAGTATCGTTGTTGTCGTTGTCGTACGATTATACAGCTGATTTTTGTGCGCTCGTACGTTATGGCAAGCATCTTTTTTATCGAAGACATTCAGCATCTATTGATTTTCGTCCGATTGATCCGAGCTCACGTCGATTGCCGACTGGCTGGCAACCGCCGTTGAAGCTGTCTCAATACTCGATATCTTTTGAGGAAGAAATATTCTATGGAAGGATTACGATATCTGCCAATACCACGATTGTCGTTCTCACGTCAACGATGATGGAGTTTGAAACTCGAGCGTTGATCGACCTCTGCTTTCCCTCTGTCCCACTCACCAGGGCAAGGTACTATCGCGTATGGCTGTTGTTTGAAGAATTATTTAATTAAGGATAATTAAAGGATAAAGGATTTGTGCACCATTGTGCACCTACGATGAGTTTATTAAATGCCGTTGATAACGCCACTAATGTGCACACGGTTCTTTTCGTTACGTCCCTATCATGATTTTACTACTTTAATTTGCAGGTCTGCGGGGTCCATAGGCGCGCGATCGGCACCAAGCACACCTCTACAAGCTGTCCCCGATGGGCCGCAGACCGCGGGCCAACAATCGATCAGCGGATCCCAACTTACCGTAGCCGGCGCCAGCTATCCTCAGCCTCCGAGGAGTCCCAGCCACGCGGCTTTGAGATGTAACGACAGGTGAGACACCTCGTGTGTCCTTGTAGCCCTCGAGAAACTCCTTTTACATTTGTCCGCGCGTGTGTTTTCGTTAGGACGCTTAGGATGTTAAATCATATTTCGTTATTTTCAGTGGTAGCGTTTCTACTTTCCTGGATTCAGATAACACTTTCGTGATTGAAATGTTATATTACATTATAAGATTAATAAGACAGGCCAATCGAGAGAACCGATTTAAGATTTTTCAATCAAATTTGTCTTCATCGCACTCGATGGAAATAAATTATTCATTAACACTAGGATATGACTAGCGACGATTAGTACGATCTATTTACTTCTATCGGAGCGTTTTTGACAAAATATGTTATGCGCTTATTCTTTTATGTTTTATTCAACACCCATTAAGAATATAAAATGTATCGTCATATGAATTGAAGCAATTTCTGTAAAAATTACGGACCAATTATTTTTTGTGAGTACATGGTGCTTCTAATGTTAACCAATTATACGTATATATATGTATATATATATATATATATATATGTATGTATGTATGTATATATATATATATATATGTATGTATGTATGTATATATATATATATATGTATATATATATGTATATATAGTCGCCGTATAGTCGTTCTCTTTTTCATGAAAGATCGTGGCTGATCTTCTGTCGAGACTTGAAATCGATGCTTGAATTTCGTGACCGACGCAATGCATTGCATTTAACCTTTTTTAATGGAAATACTTCTATGATGTATCTATATCATTCAACGCGAGTAAATATATAGCGAGTTTGACGATGATTGTACGTTTCTTTTCGCGCTTCAGCGCAAATAGTCGTTGGGGTCGGTCAGATTTTTCCGTCGAGAAGAGCGAAAGCATGCCTGTCTCCCGTGCTTTTCCACGAACGATTCTGCTAATAGCAGAACGACGCCCGGTCAACGATGGTAACTTTGCCGGCAACGATACGTTTTTGATAATATCCACATTGACGTAAAATCCATTTGTATCTTTGCTTCTGCGACGTGAGTCCGTATATGAAATCGGCACCCTATCGGCTCTTGAAAATTATCAGCACTCATCGTTGATAACGTTGCCCACCTGGGCATACAACGCGAGAGAGAAGAGAAGCGAAGAAGGGGTGGGGGAGACTAACGAAGAGGGAAAAGCTGTCGCGAAAAATAAGATATTACTTGCTCCCGAGAGAGATAAAGCGTGTAATTAATTTGTCTATTGGGAAGCGGGGGGTCCCCACAGCAATTGACGCATTGTAACATCTGATATACAATGTTATCGTTGAGTGACACGTCTCTCGTAGCGTTTAAATTATCTTAATAGTGTGATCGAAAGCAGTGACGCAAGGCTAATTTCAAGGAACTAGTTTTAGTAAGTTTTAGTAGTTTTAGTAAACCGGCAATTGATGCCAGATGTACATAAACCGATATCGTATATCGATTTGTTTTTCTTTTCTTTTTTATCACGGATAAGATAAAATCCGTGAATCTAGTCTTGGCGAATCGACTCAAAGGACTTGGCAAACTCGATAAAGCGGTATTTTCACGGTATGAGTGAGTTTTCGAGTATTCAATTACGTGGAATCTTTCAAGCGAATAAGCGAATTGATAATCGATAAATTTCAGGAATAAATATGCCAACATTATGACGCTTGTGAATAATTATTTTTGCAGAAATATTTCTTGAAAGAAATTAGCATTTGTGTAATTGCCATTTCCGCATGATGTTTTCGTGGACTTTAAAGATTTTTTGGGCTTGCGAAGATTTTTATTTTAAAATTTCTACGTGATTTAATCTAAAATCTAAAAAAAATACTATTTTTTCGATGTTTTTTTGATATTTAAGAGGAAAAATTATATTTTATTGACTATTTTTGTCGCTGATTAGTAGTTATATGTGCCGCGTTGCGAGAAATAAAGAATCCAGATTAACATGCAAAAAGAGAAAAAGGAGTACACCAGGGGAATGACGTTGTTTAAGCTTGAGGTTTATCGATTATAGCGTAAACTGACTTTTTCTTCTTTAAGCGACGTCATTTCCGAGCGCGTGGACCGGTCATCAATGTCTGGAAATAACGTTGTCGACAGAATCGTCGCGTCTACCACCGTTGCTCACACCTGCATTTTTATCGATATATCTCCTCTCTTTCCAGTAATACCTCTCTTTTCCTCACTTCTTGTCCGCCTTATCGCATCTTTCTCATCTGCTCTGTATCTAACGTGTTGTTATCTATCGCATATCTGTACTTATCATGTACAGACGGTTATCGTTGCGAACTTTTGCGGGTTTTAACAATCTGCTTAATCGATGCCGATGGTGCAGACGCTCCGGACATTCCCTCCCACGTGTTATTATCGATATCGGCTGCGGATTTTTAAACTACCGGGACGGTGCTCGGCGTGCACCAGTTAAGCGTTATGCCGCGCGCCGATCGGTCGTGCAAACACCGCGACTGGTGGTCTAAAAACACTGTTGTCCGTTGGTGGATAATGTCACAGACGTGGATCGTTGTCCCTTGAGTCGAAGACTACGCTAGCTGAAAGACGGGAGCGATATTCTTGGCGATATTCAACGCGAAATTCAGAATATTCGAATTTGTACACGACGGTGAATCGTCTGAGGCGTGGGCCGTGCGGAAGGATCCGTATTTCATTGTATCGCACTTATTTTTCGAATGAAATTCGAGCGAGGATACCTGAAATCTATGACAAACTTGAGGATAGACTCAACAATGGGACAATCGTACGAAATGTGGGGCAACGATCTGTGGAGCATTACTTTCCCGAGGAAAATAAGCAAAACAACCTATAAGCATAGTGAATTTGCGGAGCGTTTAACTGAAAAGTATGTGAATTGCTCGATGATTTATTAAACATGTACAATTAGATAGATTTGTATTTCCTTCTAAAGTGACGAGAGTGCAGTTTTAGCGAGATCGTTTGAAAAGAAAGAAAAACTTTACACACAGAGAGAACGATTTAGTTGAATTTAACAAATGCTTAGTTGGAATAGTCCAACTAAAATTTTTGATTGATCGAACGAAGTTTTGTTTGACGCAACAAAAATATTTTGTTGCAGCTTAGTTCCAACGAAATGTTTTTGTTGCGTCAAATAAAATTTTGTTCGATCAGTCAAAAAATTTATTTCGACTATTCCAAATAAGCATTTGTTAGATTCAACTAAATCGTTCTCTCTGTGCACATTGATCCGCGAGTATCCACCACATCATTATATAATTTAATTATCATATCATGTCATGATAATTATTACGAAATAAATAAACTCCCTAGTATAGATATAATCGAACGAAATACGTTTAATATGTCTTTCTTTTAATAAAAGAAAAAAGTATATACATTTATTTACATTCAGTGCCAATGTTCTATCATCTGGGGTCTCCTCAATATGTAAATTACAAACACCAGCTGAACTGAAATGTAAAAGCAGATTTTTCCTTCACGTTTGAATTTCTATTCGAACAGCAGCGTCGGTTCTTACTTGCCTTCATACATTTTTTATAACAAGTTAATATTTCTTCCCAAAATCGAGCTTGTGTATCATTTTATAAAACAAGGAGTTTATACAATAGATAACATTCGTTCATGGTATCGACAAGTTTAATACAGCCTGTAATTTTGCTCCCCTTTCAGTCACCTTTCAAAGCCGCTGAGTAGGAGCACACCATCGATGGCAGCTGGCGGTGGTGCGCAGACTCCAGCAAAGGTCAGCAGATCCTCGTCGAGGTCCTCACCGACCTCCACTAGCAGCGCGAGACAGAAAAAATTCCACAGGCACTTCAGCCAGGTAGGAACGATGATCGTTACTTCACATGTTGCAAGGATGTTTCGTAAAGCGCGTAAATGGTGTATTGTACGAGGTACACACGAAGATCTCGTTTGTTGCGTGATTCGCGACACTCTTACGGTTTCGGTACTTCGGTCGTTCTGGGAGTTTCATTGGAATCATCTTGTTTCGCGAAGAAATATTGCTGGCTGGCCGTGATTGCTCCTCCTATGTGTTCAGGTTTTATCAAAGTTTGTCGCGGAGAAAATGCGAACGACAATTCGAACGATAATTACTCCATTATTGTGTATCATTTGTTCCATCTGCGTTCAATGGACGATAAATTAACGTCTCCTAAATTAATGTAGGATGTGAACGCGCGCACGTCACTGCACGCTTCGCTTCGTAGCACGCGGCGTTTGCTTCTGCGTATGCAATATAAAAATACCTCTCTTGTTCTCTCGATGAACTTTGGAGAGACAAAAGATCTACCGCTTTCGTCAAACGAGAGAGCGAGTGAGCTAGATAGATAGATAGATAAATAGATAGATAGATAGATGGATAGATAGATGGATAGATAGATAGATAGGTAGATAAATAGGTAGATAGATAGGTAGATAGATAGATAGATATATATAGAGAGAGAGGGAGGGAAGAGAAAGAGGGAGGGAGAGAGAGAGAGAGAGAGTCTTGAAAAGTTGTCAAATTCCGAAAGTTGTCGCTTTCTACAATTCAACGTGGACTTGACGGGATTGTGATTGTCTCATACGCTAAGGACAAATACAAGAGATTGAGATACATCTCAAGGGTTTGAAATTTCTCCAGTATTGTAGAAGCAGCTGTTGGTTTAGTCGATCGAGAGTAGCATACGATGACATCGCGCTGCATCAATTAGGTGAAGTAAAGGGTATAAAAATACAAACGAACAAGAGCTACACGGGTGTTTCGCAATGCCTGATTGTTCAAGGAATGTTTCATGTCACATATGTTTCATATCACATATCCATTTGAAACAAAGTCCATTTCCAATCGCAGAGTGTAATAACTTATAGCTAAAGTCACAATACACGAGAGGTATCGGCTGAGTAAGAAGGGAATATCCAAGTACAAATTTGCGGATTCATTTCGATTCTTTCGCTTTCTCGACTACCGTTGTGACATTAGAGAACTTTGCTTGCGATGTTATTTAAAAATTTGTTGTTTTAATATGCTAATTAATTATATGTATTATTGAGAGAAATGCGCTTGGCAAAAAAGAACCCACGTGAATTAACTCGTCGTTGACATACAAAAGAAGGAATTCTTTTCACAGTAAATTTTAACTTCGAGACTTTATTCGGCAATCAATGTCAAGAAGTGTTATTTAAGAAGTGAAACAAAGAATATATAATCTCTAAATTTCGAGAATTAAAAAAAAGCTACAAATTTTCTTTTCGTCACGTATCGTGTCTCATCTCATTGTGTCAGCGAAAGAGCAGTATCGACCTAATGCATAGTCTTCGAAATTTCGCGATCAGGTGGCGGAGGACGAACGCGTGCTCAACTACTACAGCTGCGCGCTGGTCGGCGACATCCTGCTGCAGGGTCATCTGTACATCACGCCCAACTACTTTGCATTCTACAGCAATGTATTCGGCTACGTGACCAAGCTGCTGATACCGACGGTGTCGGTCCTCAAGATCAGCAAAGAGAAGACTGCGCGTATCATACCGAATGCGGTCGCGGTGGCGACCGAAGAGGAGCGTCACGTCTTCTGCTCGCTGCTCTCGAGGGACTCGACCTTCAAGCTGATGAAGCAGGTCTGGGACGCGGCGATGGAGCCGCGGACGCCGAATGTTCTGCCGTCGCTCGCCAATGACAACAAGCTCCTCACACCTGACGCTCTGCTGGTGGACGATTCCGAGGAGGTGAACGCCGAGGAGGAAGAATCGAGTATGTCTGAGAGCGGCACCGATCTTATCTCGAGACCGCCGACTGTCTGCACCGATACCGACGGTGCGCCCATGGGCCTGAACAGACCGAGTTTGCCGGTCGCTAGGTGAGTTTTCTTTCTGCTACACAAGGAAAAGTTTTATTTCTATAATGTATCTTTTTTATTATATCGCATAACCGGGATGAATATGATATATATATATATATATATTCATGCTAAAATCTTTTATACGACACGGTTGATTAAATTATTAAATTATTCGTTGAATGCTAATAATATATTTATTTATGCTGCATATGTATATACTTTGACACTATAATATAATATAATAAGAGAATATTGTTTTTCAAACAAGAAAATGCGCATTTTATTCAAAATCGTGGTTTCTCTTATATGAAAGCAATTTTTCAATCTATTTAAATAAATAAAGGAATTTAGATTCAAGTGAATTCATGGGATCTCATTTTCCTTCTCATCCGCAGATTAGAGGGCGTTATATTAACGAGGCCGCAGATACCAGGCCGATTCGGTATGCTAAGATCTTTGTTCGCCGGCTGTAAGCCTGGCACGTTGATAACGATACTGGTGTTCTTGGCGACTCTCTTGATGGCTCTCTACGTATTGGCGGCTGTAATGTTGATGCGCATTGAGAATCTGCACACCGTGTACGTCAATCACCCCCTCGTTTCGCCGGAGCGCTTTACGCACGATCGACTGTTGCATTATCTTAATACGAATCTGGATCAAATAATCAAGGTGAGACGTTTCGTTCGTTCATTCGTTCGCTCAATCAATCGATTATCGACAAACGACTCTCTCGACTTGTGGGTGTTTCTCTTTGACATTTATTTTACAAATCCGCTTGGCTCGTAGGTGCGTCAGAGTCTGCAGACATTGTCGCAGCAGTTCGTGACGATGAGCCAAGGCAGTGAGACGGGCCCGACCATGTCCGGCAACGTGGTGGAGCCGGAGGACGCACCGAGTTAGCCCACAACCGAGCTAAACGACTTAATCCAGCCGAATAACACAAGGCTCCGTCACCTCGCTGTCGAGCGAGGTATTGCCTCTTGAAGAATATCATCAATGTCGTTGTCATCGTCTTCGTCGCCATCGCGTCTCGACACGGCGAAACAAGACAATTTCTCTACAGACATTCGTTACAGTGCGCCAATCACGCGCGCTTGGTCGTTGTTATCCATGTTGTTATTATGACAGACTTTTGGAGCCCACGAGAGTGAAAGAGGGAGAGAGAAGAGAGAGAGAGAGAGAGAGAGAGAGAGAGAGAGAGAGAGAGAGAGAGAGAGAGAGAGAGAGAGAGAGACAGAATCTGCTGCTAAACGACACACAGCTCGTAAAACGAGATTTTGTGAGCGCGCGAATCGTTCACGAACTTCCGGATTTGAAAGCGAGCTCCGAGCACGCGTGAATGGCCAGGTGAAATCGAGCGTTTGCGCGATTAGACTGCTTCAACAGCACATATATGTGTTACGAATTGACACGTACATATGATTATGCGAAGCGACGAGGGTAAATGCGCGGCGAGCAGAGGTTGTCGTTTTTGTTATCTTTTCTTTTCATCATAAACTAGTCACGTGTATGTACCTAAGTCCCGGGGTATAATAAAAGAAGCAAAATATGTATATATATATATATATATGTATGTGTATATATATGTATATGTATATATATATATATGTATGTATGTGTATATATATATATATATATATATATATATATATATATATATATATAGAGCTATACATACAGACATAAAATGATAACGTATATTTCGCGATTAAACTTGTTCGTTAATTATATATTTCGAGCTAGTCGGGCACTGTTGTATTTCACATCGCTGCTGTACTAAAAGATCGACACTTATTACATAGCGCATCTCAATTGCGTGATTAATCGTATCTCGATATCAAGCGCGTGCATTCGCGATATACGTCGAGCAACGATATTTTATCCTCGATAAGTATCGACCGAGGTATAAAGGAATTTGCTTTCTTTAACCGCCACATTAGCTCTTTCAGTACCTCCTTCAAATTCGCATTTGATAACGGTAAAACTTCAACTTTAGACCACCCCATCTCTTTCTCCCGTTCGTTTCCAAATTTTAGTGGAAAATGTTGGTTATCCTCAGCTTACATTTTCCCCGTTATCACTAGACAATGTTTCAAGAGTACATTGTTAATGGAGATAAAAGAGAATCGCTTGACGTGTTCTAAATTAAATAATGATAAAATTAGAAATGTGTAAATAGTACGAGAAATATAATAAGAAGAGATTATGATATTCCTCATTTTAATTTCACAAACAAGTCGACTTCTGTGTTGTTTCTGTTTCTTTTTTAACTTGCAAATCGAGTAAAATGATTCCTTCAAGTGCTTTCACTTATTCTCTTAAACTAAACACCGTTTTATTATCGTTAATTTTAATTTACGTAACATTACGTAATCAAATCTCTATATGTTTTCTCACTTTCTTGCGTAATTTAAAGCGCAACACAAATTATAAATCAAGAAAGGTCTGAGTGAAACGGAAGAGAGAACGATAACTCTCGTCTAAAATATTAATATTTGTATATTCGTATCCCATATATCGCGCTTTGAGAGGACATTTACTTAGCATTACGTGACAAAGCCTGTTACAAGGTAACCGAATGAATCCATGAAAACAGAAGGACGGATTTGTCCTATGTCTATTTAGGTACTGAAAGGGTTAAACTGCGCACCCCCTTGGATGGACTCAGAGATACGTGAGAATTTATGTTCTCACGTGCGCGACTGTTCCTATTGCGTTTCCGATTGTTTCTGGAAGTAACAACAGCCTATATTTTCTTCTGGATTCGAGACGGTCACGCGAGTCTTCTATATCGAAAGTGGCTCTATCTCGAGTTCTCTGTGAATACGCCAAGCTTTGAGAATTCGATTGAAATGTGGGCGTGACATCGCGAATGGAAATTCACGGTATCCTATTAATTCCATTTGCATTCAATTGGCCGCTAATAATGCGTCACGTATAAAATCTTGATCTTTTATTCCTTTTCTCTCTTCATATATACACAGTATGTCGGAAAAATAACGGAACTTTTTAAATTAAAAAAAACAATTAGTTATTTTGCCAAAATTATTTCTTTTTATTCAAAATACATTCCTTCCGCATCAATACACCGCTGGACACGTTCAACCAATGCTAGCATAGATTTTTTTATGTCGTTTTTCGGAATCGCCTCAATGACCCTCGTCACGGCTTCTTGGACTTGTGTAACACTGTCATAAAATGTTTCTTTCATGGCCAGTTTGAGTTTCGGGTACAGAAAATAGTCACACGGAGATAAATCAGGTGCGGAGGATGTTGAAGCACACAGACTTGTTTTTTCGCCAAAAATTCACGAACAGTGACGGTCCTGTGAGATGGTGTATTATCGTGCAACAAAAACCAACATCCTGGCGCTCGATATTCGGGCAAAATTTCGTGAATCATGTCTTTGATCGTATTTAATTCCTCTGCTATCCATCTCACAGTCGAATTCGCATCGTAGGCGATTATTTCACGCACTTTTTCCACCAACTCATCGCGATTTTTATTTTTTGGCCGGCCTGGCTTTGGGTCGTCTTCCAAAGCATCACGACCGTCCTGGAATCGCTTATACCACTCGAACACACGTGTATGGGATAAGCAATCATCACCATAAACTTTTTTCATCAATTTAAATGTTTTTGTAAAAGTTTTACCGAGCTTGAAACAAAATTTAATATTAGCTTTTTGTTCCATCGTGTTTTTGTGACGAGGTGACAAAAGGTACTATCACTTTAAGCGCTACAACTTCACAATCCGTTGATCGATTCTAATGATGGCGATCTCGTTTTGTAGAAGAGATATACAGCTTTCAGATTATATATTGTTTCAATAAATGGCGTTAATAATTTTCTTTAAATTTAAAAAGTTCCATTATTTTTCTGACATACTGTGTATGTATGAGATGTCCAAAGAGTCGAAGAAGCATTATAAAAATGCGAAAATGGCTGTGATTAGAATTTTTGTTGTGTAGTTTTCTCATTTTTACTTGAAACTTTTGACACGGAAAAGTTGAAAAATATTTAGACAAAGTATTTTTTTAATGATTTTTAAAAGTTGGAACATTGATTTTGGATATTTGACTATTATATTAAAATGAAATTATTACATGTATTGTGTTCTCGAACGTATCTTCTTTTCGTACTGATAGGTAGTTTCAGTCGTAAAACAGATACGTTTTTCTTACGAAGTTTTATTCCTTGGCGCACTTTCGAGATAAATGGCTCGCGCACGAAAGTGCTTGCAAAATCTTTCATTCGTTTTCGTATTTCGAAATCATTGAACTTTTTATATTTTTTACCACAGAACGGAGAATGTTCGGAGCAAAAAGAAACAGAAAGAAAAAAGAAAGAAAGAAAGGAAGAAAGAAAGAAAGAAAGAAATAAAGAAAGAAATAAAGAAAAAAAGAAAAACAGAGGTATTATTATATTCGTGGTTATAACATGGGGTAAAAGGTGGTTGACTGTGATAATAGGATCATGGATGTGTCTCGCGGAGCAACGATTGCGCTTAACCGTTTAACCGTGCGTATTCTTGTTCCTGCGACAAATGTAAATGCGAAATTGTTAACTTTTCTTTCTTGAAAAAAATATCGAAAGTCCAGCTTGAGTGCAAAATGTACGATAATATAATTAGACCTGGTTTTTTTAGCTGAACCAATACTAGTCCACTGGAATTTGGTTCCTTTCCGCCTCAATATTGAATTACATGTTTGTTTCATTCTTTCTCCTTCTCTCTCTCCCCCCTCTCTCTTTCTCTCTTTCTCTCTTCCTCTTTCTCTCTGTTTCCTTCTTTCTTTCTCCAACGACAACAAACCAAGTACAATTTGGTTCAACTAAAAAAAAATAGTTCAAAAGTTTTCTCTTTGGAGAGAAATGATCAGAAGGATAATCGGTATAAGCGCGATCACTTTCTCTTCGAGCTCAATATGGGATTTAAGAGAAATGCTGTTACATTATAATTAGTTATATATCTAGGAAAATGTAAAGAGGAAAAAATTTCCCTCAAGCATTGTTTTCTACATTGGTATATGTATATGTGTGTGTGTGTGTGTATATATATATATATATACATATACATATATGCATGTGTTTGTGTGTGTATATATATGTCGTTTAATTAATTATTATTAATTATATATAGTGGGATATATTCGATAGACACACGGTATATATTGCAATTATACTTTAAATTTTTGTTTTCTATTGGAGACACGTTATTATTACCGTTTCTATTGCCATTGAGTAGCCAGTTTAGTCGATTTCGTTTATCACTCGCGCAAAAACGCGGCATAATATCAATCGAGTATGATCAAACTCAGAAATCACACTCGTTTTCTCTCTGTTTAATTTTCTCTTTGAGGAAATCTTGAAAATGTGGAACAGGGCAAATAAAATATTCTTATTTATGTGTCCAGATGAGAAACGTATTAGACTTCATACGCGATGATACTTTATCGATGCAAAAAATGTACGTTTCATAACAACAAAGTTGCTTGTGATGGTTGAATAAAATATGAGGGAGAGAGAGAGAGAGAGAGAAAGACATGTATACATATACTTGACACGTCTTATTGTTAATGACTTATTAAAGGCGGAAACCGGTATGTTCCGATGTGATGCGCTAATAAATGAGCATACGCACGAGAAGTAGTTTTGAATTGGTTTTTGCTGGACGTTTCGGTAAGCTTCAGACGACATTTCACAAGTTCAATCTTTCGCCACCATTGTCACGTAAGGAATTTGTAACATTGTCATTTTTTCATATTCGCGTATCTGTACAAAGATACACGGCGTAAAGATTGCGATAAATGTCAATTTCAAGGCAAATCTCATTTGCCTTATGTATTTCGATAAGATTAAACTCGAAAGCCCATTTCCTGCTTGTCTTGAGGGGCTGTGAATGAAATTCGTCAAATTTTTTGTTTACAAACAAAAGGAAGAATCAGGAAAAATATTGAGTCTACGCGCACACAATGCGTAAATAAAAAGAAGATTAACTTTTCTTTTTCCTCCTTGTTACAATCATCTGACTTATCAAATTTCTCAGTATGCGAAGTGGGAAGATTGTGAAGCTACCAGAACGATCTCGTGCCGGAAACCAAGGGCAACCGATTTCGAAATAAATTCGCAACGGACACGTCGACATGTTTACGGGGATTATAGCCAATAAACGCGACAGCCAAGTCCAGTGCCAAATTTGGTAGAACCCGGGTGAAAGAAATCGACCCACAAACGAAGACGAAGATATGCTTGTTCCAATGATTGTCGTGCGCTCGTACAGCTTTTCCGCCATATTAAGGAGTCGATGTTAAAACCCGTTACCTAGAGGAGAGTTATGTTGAATTACATACCAAAGACAGTTTTATAAGATGGAATGGTATTATCTATGGGGCATCAGTTGTTAACTGGCAGTCGCAATGCAGAAAATCGACGGAGTCTTCTATCGGCAAAGTATGCGAAATTTGCTCGGAAATTTGCTGATATCCTAGAAAATACAGTAATAATAATAAAATTAAGAAATTTATTTCTCCTTACAAAAAATTTCACTGAACGAAATTTATGGTGAATTCTTTCGATTTGAAAAGTTAATAAATGCCTATTCTTCCGAATTGGATTTTGACTTCTATAATTAATCAATGCATGAAATGAAGAAAAAAAAGATTTTTTCGACTTTTTTTTTTCGCCTTTACTTCATCGCTTATCTTTAAAGGTTTGCCGATCGGTAATTTTGTCGGATTTCTGTGAATTCATTCACGATCGATGAACGAATAGGCAGCAAAAAGCATTCTTTCCGCGTAAAAGATGCGTTGCGTGGTAGCCACGGAAGCGCGAGGGATTACACAGAATAACATAAACATACAAGACGGTAAATCCCTGATTTGGAAATTACCCGAGAAACGGATGTTGCATTAGTTGATTATATTAAATAGTTGGTAGTATCTACTCGTTCTTGTTTACGTACGACTGCTACTTGCCTTACTGTAATGTTTTTAGATATTTTAGATGGGTGCTCAACACGGTCCATTTATTTAAGGATACGCAAATGTGTGCGTGCGTGCGTGTGCGTGTGCGTGCGTGCGTGCGTGCGTGCGTGTGTGTGTGTGTGTGTGTGTGTATGTGCGTGTGCGTGTGCGTATGTGTGTGTATGTGCGTGCGTGCGTGCGTGCGTGCGTGCGTGCGTGCGTGCGTGCGTGCGTGCGTGCGTGCGTGCGTGCGTGCGTGCGTGCGTGCGTGCGTGCGTGTGTGCGTGCGTGCGTGTGTGCGTGCGTGCGTGTGTGTATGCGTGCGTGCGTGCGTGCGTGCGTGCGTGCGTGCGTGCGTGCGTGCGTGCGTGCGTGCGTGCGTGTGTGTGTGTGTGTGTGTGTGCGCGCGCGCGTGCGTGCGTGCGTGTGCATGCGTGTGCGTGTGTGTGTATGAATGCGCGCGCGCGCGCGCGCGCGACGAAATTAACGTCAGCAGCTGCGCTTCACATCGTTTTGAATATCTGTGAGGTACTTTGCCACGTCGGCATATTATTGCGGTTGGAAGATTCAGACGAGAGTATTTACTATGATTTTCACATACATCATACACTTCCTCACACTCGCATTCCTTCTCTATGTAATATGATTATCTGTTATCAATTGAATTATTATGATCTGGGCTTTTCAAATGTTCAAATTTCAATCGGACAATCTAGATTTTACCATTAATATCCAGCTGTCCACCTAATATTAAAAGTTCAAATTATTAGATGTTTGATATTGATATATTCTATAAAAATGATACTTTTACAAAATACATTCCTTAAGTCTACTCAAATTTTTCAATTTTCGAATCTGTCAACTTTTATAATCTTATAACTTCCTGTGGACAAATATTTATCGTGTTTAAATTATTGTTATTTCTGTGGGACGTGTTGCACGATAAAATTGAAGAATCACACAGATAGAATTCGAATAGAATTGGAAACTGTTGGTGATTGTTTCTCTATTTGCTAGAAAATTTGTAGCGAAGAAATTCAACGCGATATTTGGAGCGCAGCTCGCAGATCAAAAGGAAGATTTAATATTTGTTAAGAAATTGAGAAATTTGTGTGGTCGTATAATATGTAAAAAGAAAGAGAGAGAGAGAGAGAGAGAGAGAGAGAGAGAAAGAAAGAGAAAAAGAGAGATTCGTCCATAATCGAATCTCGTAATTATTGCGCGAACACGAACGTGTCGAGAGGGAATTCAAAAGTTGCAGACAGACCAATAATTTATTACGTAATTTGTGTAGCTCGATACACACAGAACGCAAATAAAATTTGATGAAAACATCATGTACCTTGTGTATTTGCATAAACTTTCATGTCCATATATACATATACATTTGATTTCCTTCCACGCTGATTTCCCCGTTGTCAGCGTTTTGAGTAATCGACCGCTGACCGCAACCGAAACTTTCCACCCACGAGAGTCCACGACTTATCGTGTTAATTACCGCTGCATCGTAGGAGGATAAGATAAGAACGACCCTGCAATTAGAGATCTCGTTCCGGTTGCATACAGCTATACGTTATTGAACCCTGCAATCTTTTTACGCATTAGGAGGTCGGAGGAAGTTGACGATTTCCATATCCATATCCATATGCAGTTTCATTTCCGTCTAATTAAGAATTAAAGAAGAAACAATAGAGCAGCTCTGCTTGTGTGGCATGTGTTGCGAATAACATTGTAAAGGCAATTAATCTTGGAACAAAAACTTGTGTGTATTAAGGTTCTTCAGGTATTCAATCAGTAAGTACAAATGAACAATAGGTGTCAACGCAGATGGACATTTGCGGTTAATTAATTATTGAGAAAGAATAATAATGTCGACGAGGTATTGCATATGTCGAAACATTTTCTGAGTCTAAACGCACACAGAATGTGCAATATTTTACAACCTTTCGACATATCGAAAACTGACCCTATATTCTAATTACATTAACCCATTAATGCCCAAAAGTCCTAAAATATTAGCTTTACTTTGCAACTGTATTTTATGTAGAGAAACATATTATATAAGGTTGGAATAGCATTTTCTTATGTTTTCGGGGTCGTTCTACAAGATTCTATAAGAAGGCATCAGAATTCGTTTAGATTTAAAATCCAATATGGCGGAATTTTTGGGAAAATGTCGTGAAAAATCGATAATTTTATTTTTTAAAAGCTTAATTTCGTATCAAAAACGTTACTTTGATACAGATACAAGTGTCACATCTTATCTAAAAAATGTTGAACTTTCGAGGTATGCATTGGTGAAAATGTGAATTTAAGATGGCTGCCTCAAAATGGCTGTTTGAGCGAAAAAAACTTAAAAAATAATGTATTTCTAAAATAACTTCGCAAAATCCTAGTATTTAACATCAATTTAGTATCCAGGGTACTGATTTTAGGATATTTGCTGACAACTAATTCATATTAGAGAATTTCAAAATGGCGAATCCAAGATGGCGACTAAAAGGCACGAATAATCGTGAAAATTTCAAGATTTTCATGAATTTTCTTCTATTATTTTCATATTCATGAATTATTTCCGAGACGTACACACGTACATATACAGACTGGGTAATTATAAACTTACAAACTTTATAAAAAACATAAAAAACATCGAGATAAGTACAACGGACGGGAAAAAATTGGAATTGACTACGTAAAGTTTTGAGGAAAATTGCTAAATAAATGAGTGAATAAATGCGCAGTGATCGGACATCGCGGGCCTGCTACTCCACACAGCTTGGACCGGATTGGCAGGCAATAACAGTGGACCGGCGCGCGCCGTTGTTGCCTGTCAATCTGGTCCAAGCTGTGTGGAGTAGCAGGCCCGCGATGTCCGATCACTGCGCATTTATTCACTCATTTATTTAATAATTTTTCTCAAAACTTTACGTAGTCGATTCCAATTTTTTCCCGTCCGTTGTACTTATGTCGATGTTTTTTATGTTTTTTATAAAGTTTGTAAGTTTATAATTACCTAGCCTGTATATGTACGTGTGTACGTCTCGAAAATAATTCATGAATATGAAAATAATAGAAGAAAATTCATGAAAATCTGGAAATTTTCACGATTATTCGTGCCTTTTAGTCGCCATCTTGGATTCGCCATTTTGAAATTCTCTAATATGGATTAGTTGTCAGCAAATATCCTAAAATCAGTACCCTGGATACTAAATTGATGTTAAATACTAGGATTTTGCGAAGTTATTTTAGAAATACATTATTTTTTAAGTTTTTTTCGCTCAAACAGCCATTTTGAGGCAGCCATCTTAAATTCACATTTTCACCAATGCATACCTCGAAAGTTCAACATTTTTTAGATAAGATGTGACACTTGTATCTGTATCAAAGTAACGTTTTTGATACGAAATTAAGCTTTTAAAAAATAAAATTATCGATTTTTCACGACATTTTCCCAAAAATTCCGCCATATTGGATTTTAAATCTAAACGAATTCTGATGCCTTCTTATAGAATCTTGTAGAACGACCCCGAAAACATAAGAAAATGCTATTCTAACCTTATATAATATGTTTCTCTACATAAAGTACAGTTGCGAAGTAAGGCTAATATTTTAGGACTTTTGGGCGTTAATAGGTTAACTCTAAAATCTTCCCATCCTTCTTTTTTCTTTCCAAACTACTAGCGTATTCGAGTGGTATATAGTGGAGGTTTTAATCCATTACCACCCAACACCATGGGGTCAATTAAATCCCGGTTCTTGAGTGGAACATACACATGTAAGTTTTGAGATTAGCTAATAGGGCCTCGTGACGTCATTAATTGACCCCAAATGAATTAAAACCTATGTTACTCGAATACACTATAAGAAAATTGAATGTATATATATATGTGTGTATATATATATATATTATATATTTCATATATATATATTCATATATTTCACACACATATATATATATATTATATGAAATTATATATATATAATTTCACACTTACCGTGTTGCGGAAAAATTGTTATTCTCCCGCAATAATTGATTGCTCTCATTGCCTACTTTCTTTACAATCGCACAATTCTGCGTTTTCTTTTAATAAAATTAATGAATGAAATTAATCTTTTAATTAAATTAACGACAATTTATTGTATATACTTAATTATCCAATTCTCTTCGATAATTTGAATGTTTTTCAAGAGGATCCTATTTTCCTCCTGATGGAATTAATTTCTCGTAAAAAAGAGATACATCGGAGCTTCTATCTTGTCCATCAAGACTTCGTCTTTCCGATCGGCTTTTCGGCTTGAGCGACAGATAAACGATTAAAGTAACGGGGAATTAACCGACCTTTCTTCTTTCAGGGTTACGCGCGACTCGTTTGCTCAAGAGATCTCAAAGCTACATGCGATTATTGCCGTGTAGTGGGGATTCTGCGGTCACTTCGTGGGAAGCTGTGCCTCATATAAGAGACAGGACGCGTTTGCTCACGTCAGTGTGAATCGCTGGGTAACTTTCTTGTTAAACGTCTGCCGTTCGTGCCGCGGGTTCCTGTTCCGTGATTTCTTCGTCATTGCATTTGATCGGACTCGAATATAAGGTTGGTTAGAGAATTCATTTTAATATTTTAATATAATGTCATTTTAATATAATCTCAATTTTTCTGATTTGAACACTTTCTCATTCAACCCTCCGTCCTCCCCCATTTCTATGTTCTGCAATAATTACGATGACTTTCCACTGAGAGCATCAGAGAAACAAAAGTAATCCGAATTGTTATTTTCCATTGTATTTCATCGGGCCTGAATACGAATACGAATAAGTTGGTCGGACAGTTTATTTTAAACAGCAATTATTTTGATTAAAACATTGTCTCGTTCATCCGTCCCTTTCTTCTAAAATTACTGAGGAGATCACGGTAAAAATCCATTACATGTAAAAAAAGATCATAGATTGGCAAATGTTACTTTCAGAATTTATTTATTTCGTCAATTTGACATATTAGACAGTAATGAACTCCTTGGTATTTAACACACCGGTTGCTAGGGTGATCATCAGTGACTGGTGCTACAAAATTGCCACGATTTATTAATTTATATATCAATAAAACGTAATTGCGTACAAACAACTAATTATAATCGATGAAGGATCAATGAAAGAATGGCCAAACTAACGAAATACACATATCGCGCACCGCATTTACTTATTGCATATTTGGCGATTCAAATGAATATCGATGTGATATGCGTTCAACGTTTGCGAGACAACGTTTAGAGTTAAACTGACTCGAAAATGAAATTTTTCTATTTTAAAGGATTTATCAGTTTTATGAATAAAGTTGAACATCAACTCGGAGTTCTTCTTTTAGACAATCACAATGTAAATTTTCTATTCTCCTATTAATACTCAAATTTCTCACGAGAATTTCACGAGAAATATGATATAATTTTCGTATTTTTCTTTTTTCTTTTTTTATCGTTTTTTGAACCTATTGTATTAAATCGTTAAAAGAAACAGGTCGCAAGGAGGTTACGAGTAAAAATCGTTGGAATGAAACGCAACTTGATTCGGCCGAATTATTCACATCTTTAATCTGTCTGCCGTTTATCAGAAAATGTGAAAGGTCAAACGAAACGGCGCCTCTCGCTCGATCCGGGTTAGCCGAAAAAAGATCACTTATGTGTGTTTGTTGTCCGTTTTTTAATCAATCGAGCTCTAAGATCAAATATGAATAATTTAATAGCGATACACACAATATACACGAAAGAGAACGGGACGTGCATAAAGTCGATCACGGTTACGTTACTTTATATACGACTGCTCGTTGATGAAAGATGCGGTTCTTGCGTAACGTAATTTATTCGAACGACGAGGAGTAGATTCCAGAATATTGTTTTTTTTCTTTTTTACATGATCGATACATTATATTGCGAGATAGCTTCGCTATGATTTGCCGGAAGGTCGAGAATGCGCGAGTCGCATTCCTACGTGAAACCCTACATTTTACCCATCAGATCGACGTGAGTCAGTGAGATCAAGGCCGCGGCTGATCGATGTCGCCAATCGGTCGTGGCCTTTAAGGGATGTGAATCGGCCAGGCGGATTACGCGTCCGTGTGATTTTTCCCAGACTTTTGCGCAATGACACTCATGAATCAAAGGCGGATACCGACCTTACGGTCAGTTCAGTGAGTCATTCTTATATGTACTTGAAACATGTCATTCTCATGACGATTAAATATTAGGTCAGTTGAAAGAAATTTTGGTTTCCGAATTTTTGCGACTTTCTGCTTACCTCTATGTTATAAAACCTTGATAATAAAAGTATACAAAAATGTGTGTGACCAGGTTAATGAAATACTTATACATATACTAGGTGCGCAACTAAGTTTCCGGGTTTTTTGATCAATGAAAAATGGAAAATTTCAAGAGAAATACAGAAAATGGTTTATTCAAAATATCGTCCCTCGCTAGCTACACATTTTTGCCATCTCTCTGGCCATACATGAATACCGCGACGATAAAACGACGCGTCTTTAGACCGAAACCATTCATCCAACCAATTTTGCACTTCTTCGAAACTAGCCAAGTGTTGCCCAGCCAAGCCATGCACCATCGACCGGAACAAGTGATAATCGGAAGGGGCCAGGTCTGGCGAATACGGCGGGTGCGGTAGCAGATCCCATTTCAGCGTTTTGATGGTGTCCTGGACGATGGAAGTGCGATGGCACAGAGCGTTGTCCTGATACAATATCACTCGTTCGTGTCTCGTGTCCCATTCTGGCCTTTCCCATTCTGGTTTTTCGAGCAATGCATGGTTCAAATTGATCAGTTGTTGTCGATAGCGATGCCCATTGACAGTTTCGCCCGGTTTCAGCAGTTCATAGTACACGGTTCCTTTCTGGTCCCACCAAACGCAGAGCATTGTCTTCTTTCCGAAGCGATTTGGCCGTGCCGTCGATGATGCTTCGCCGGATGAAAGCCACGATTTTTTGCGTTTGGGATTCTCGAAATATATCCACTTCTCATCGCCAGTAACAATTCGATGTAGGAAACTCTTTCTTTCATGCCGCAAAAGCAAAATTTCGGAAGTAGCTCTTCGATTTTCCATCAACTCTCTCTCAGTCTCTCAGTCAACTCATGTGGCACCCATTTTCCTTCCTTTTGAATTTTTCCCATGGCATGTAAACGTTTGGAAATATCTTGGCGAGTCATGTTTAATGCCTCCGCAAGTTGATCTTGTGTTTGCCTATCATCATCCAATAACGCTTGCAGATCGGCGTCCTCAATTGTTTTTGGTCTTCCGGAGCGCTCTTTGTCCTCAGTGTCGAAATCTGAAGCGTTTAAATCAATCTTCACAGGTAGCTTTCGATGGTACATGTTCGCCGTAAGCCTTTTCAAGCAAACATGCTTCAGTTGCACTTTTTTTCAAGTTAAAGCAGAAAAGCAAAGCTTCCCGCAAATGCTGTTTATTTGGCACAAAACTCGACATCTTCGTTGTTAGAAAAAATATTTTTGCGTTGCGATATGTGTTAGTATTACAACTGGTTATTGTTAACAGATGTCCAAGTTATAAAAAAACATAACTTCAGACATGTATGTCGACTACATGTGTCGTTAGCGCCATCCATGTGTGAAACCCGGAAACTTAGTTGCGCACATAGTATATAAATATAAATATATATATATATATATATATATATAGGATGGTCCATATAAAGTTTGACAAGTTAAAAACTCAAAAAATATAAATAAAAATTATAAATAAATTATCGTATCAAAAAGATGTTCGTGAGGAAGTTTCGTGTATTCGAAGGGTCTTTCTAATTATGTAAAATTCGCCCCCGCTCCCTTTTGAAGAGGAGCAGGGAGTAACATCTTAATTTCTCCACTTCAAAGAGGAGCGGAAGCAAAGTTTTGTTTGTATAGTTAGAAAGACTTCTCAAATATATGAAAATCTTTTTGATACAAGTATTTTTTGAGTTTTTAGGCTATCCAACTTTATGCGTAGGCCATCCTGCACACGCACACACATGTATATATAGATTGTTTATATACATATTTTATGTATACAGGGTGGGAGATTATAAGTTTACAACCCTAAGTGTGAAGGTAGATTGGGTTAAGACAAACATAAAAGTCCTATACTGTTTTGCGAGATTCGCAATAATTATCGAGTTATTAATGACAGAAATCTGAGGAGTGGGAGCGCGCAGGCATAGATAATTGGAGAAGCGTTGCAACTGCTTAGGTCGCAGCGTGGCCCAGTCGATCCAGCAACTGTTGCCGGTGCGCGGCGAGGGGAAAGACAATGCGCCGCTATTCGTTGTTTTATCTCGCTGGACCTACGTCTTGCCGCCAATAGTTACTGGGTCGAGTGGGCCGCGCTGTGGCCTGAGTAGCTGCAACGCTTCTCCAATCATCTATGTCGGCGCGCTCCCATTCCTCAGATTTCTGTCATTAATAACTCGATAATTATTACGAATCTCGCAAAACGATATGGAACTTTTATGTTTGTCTTAACCCATCTACCTTCACACTTCAGGTTGTAAACTTATAACCCCACACCCTATATATATATTACTTATATACACATATATACACACTTATATACACACTTATATACACTTATATACACTTATATACACTTATATACACTTATATACATACGATTATACAAATGTTATAGTTAAGCGTTTATGGGTGCCTCTAATATTTACATGAGTAGACATGTATTTTTCTGTACAATTCCTTTATATAATACAGAGTACACGGAGCTTGCAATTGCAAGCGGTTTATTTCTAACTATCTCAAATGTCTCTTCTCAGATGTCGTCAGAAGAGCCGCTGGAAGTGATAGCGGTGCACATGTACGAAAAGGAGAACGCCGAGGCTCATCGTACTTTTAATTATGAGATGGTGCATCAGGATCCGGCGATTCCCATCCTCCGACGTGGTCAACCTTTCAATGTCGCTTTGAGGTTCAACCGGGAATACGTGGACGCGACTGACATCGTGCGATTACTCTTCAGCTTCGGTCCGAACCCGAATGTTCTGAGAGGGACTAGAGGCGTGAATACGGTTACTAACAGGGAGGCTTATCTGACTGATTTGGAGGCTTGGGGCGTCCGGATGATCGGTTCTCATGGAGTGGATCTTTCCATCGAAGTTAGAAGTCCTATCGACAGTCCCGTCGGAGTATGGCAATTGAACGTCGAGACCAACACCCTCGGCAGAAAAAAGGCACCGAATACTTACAGTTATGAAAAGGATATCTATTTGCTCTTCAATCCGTGGCTCAAAGGTAAAAAGATTAAAAAAAGGTTCATTGAATCGTATGTTTCGTCCTCTGAATGTCTGTTCGTTTGTGTCGTATGCTACGACACGTATCATAAAAATCTTACTCTGTTTCTTTACTTATTTATTTACGTCACAATTTGTCTTGATTATTTAAATCGTCTCTTTAGTTTTTTATACAACTTAAAACTTTGGTGATATCAACTTTTTATAACTTTTATGTGACAATTCGTACGATGTATATTTTTTTCATAAAAATTATAAATATCACGATTGCTTTTATGTCAAAATGATCGCTGATCATTTGCATATGCAAATGCTTTATGAAGTTACGGAGTACGAGTTAGAAATCAATCAAATAAATTTTGTAGCAGAGATAGATGTCTATATATATATATATATATACACAGGATGTCCCATTTTAATGTTCCCTCCCAAATAATTCTTCAGTATTGAAGTTTCAAGGAAAATGAATTTTTTTACTTGTCTAATATTTTTTGAGATATTTGAGGATAACTTGATAACTTTTTCAATATTTAACTTACGATATCTCGCTAATTATTTGTCGGAAGAAAAAGTGGTACTAGACTTCCTTGCTTTATTTAGTCTCAAGAATATATTGTTACAATAGCACCCTGATTTTTGTTAATTTGATGATTTTGAAATTCCTAAAAATCAGTAAGTTAACAAAAGTCAAGGCGCTATTGTAACAATATATTCTTGAGACTAAATAAAGCAAGAAAGTCTAGTATCACTTTTTCTTCCAATAAATAGTTAGCGAGATATCGTAAGTTAAATATTGAAAAGTTATCAAGTTTTCTTTAAATATCTCAAAAAATATTAGACAAATAAAAAAATGTTTTAGACAAAAGTTGTCCAAATTAACTAGTAGAAAAAAAGTGTAATAAAAATAATTCCCATTTAAACAACGCAAGTTGACCTTCAAATGACCTTGAAAATAGAGGTCAAGGCCATCATAAGTCAAGGTCATCATAAGGTAGCTCATTTAAATCCCTACAACTTTTATTCGAATCATTTTCCTTGAAACTTCAATACTGAAGAGTTATTTGGGGTGGAACATTGAAATGAGACACCCTGTGTATATATATTTCTAAATTTCAACTAAATAGTAATATACGTCTGTATGTGTGGAATACTTGTGTTACACTTAATATGCGAAACATATCAACACCGTTATTCAGGTCCTTTTCGACGGAATTGCGAGATCGATCAATTTTCTAGCCAAAAATTGGTCAACAATTCAATTTTATACAAAATTCTTGAAAAGAAAATGAGTCAACATTTTTATTCATTTATTCTTTTCGGTAACAGAGGACTTGGTATATTTGGAAGACGAACAACTGCTCGACGAGTACATCCTCAATGATGTTGGGAAAATCTGGGTCGGTCCATGGGGTAGCTCTCGCGGCAGGGAATGGGTCTTCGGACAGTTCGACGCGTGTGTGCTGCCGGCTTGCCAATTGTTACTCGAGAGATCCGGTATCAAAGCGATTTCTAGGGGTGATCCGGTTAGGATGGTTCGGGCGATTTCAAGAATCGTAAGCACGACGTTATTACGAGCAACTTCAATGCCTATGGCTTGAGTAATCAACTTAAGCTACGTTAATGAAAAATTGCTTCCAAAGAACGCATACACACACACAAGATTTTTATATCTTAAATATTTCTAAAATATCAAGTGCGTGTGTATATGTGGAAAGAGGAAAAGAGGGAAAGAGAGACAGAGAGAGAGAGAAGGAGAGAGAGAGAGAGAGAGAGAGAGAGAGAGAGAGAGAGAGAGAAACGCATGAGATTAAAATTTTTAGATATAAACTCGACATCTTCCCTGTTTACTGATTTCCTTATACTACATACTTCTCTTTCACATCCTTCTACTTTTCTTGATCTCTGAGCGACCTTCAAATGTCAGGTGAACTCCAATGATGACAAAGGCGTGATAACTGGACGCTGGGATGGCGAATACAGCGACGGCACCGCGCCAGCCGCTTGGACCGGCAGCGTACCCATTCTCGAGCAATTCTGGGAGACTGGGCAGGAGGTGAAGTACGGTCAATGCTGGGTATTTGCCGGGGTTGTTACCACGGTGTGTCGCGCCTTGGGCATCCCCTCGAGAGTGGTGTCCAATCTGGTGTCAGCGCACGACGCCAATGCCTCGCTGTCGGTGGACCGATACTATGATCTCAACAACGAGGAACTTGAGTACGATCCAAACAATCTCGAGGGCGAAGACTCCATTTGGAATTACCACGTATGGAACGACGTGTGGATGGCGAGGCCGGACCTACCCAAGGGTTACGGGGGTTGGCAAGCAATCGACGCTACTCCTCAGGAGCGCTCGGATAGCTTCTACCAATGTGGCCCGGCATCGGTGGAGGCCATTAAGCAGGGCGCTGTCGGTTATAACTATGACGTGACCTTCATGGTGGCGTCTGTGAACGCCGATCTCATGAGATGGAAGGAGGACCCGGAGAGCGAGCTGGGATACTCCAAGATCGACTGCAACAAGTATCAGTGAGTATGAGAAGTATTCTTTCGTATGCGATGACGATCGCACGGGTGAATTCGTCGTGGACGGAAATAGCTAGTGACGATCGATGCGGCGCGGTGAGATGCAAAAACATGAGAGGGGCAAGCAGACGAGGAGCGACGGGTCAGGTGTTAATGACGAAAACGGAAGCGCAAGTTATGAGCTGTTTCATAATCAATCGCGACAGTCGTCGTGGTTGTCCTTCGCAGCGCGAGAAGACATAAAGCGCTCGCTTCGTGCACTCGCTACTGTATGTCTACGATTTGCATAATTCGACGATGCTTGGAGGATATTTATGACGTGGCTATAGGCAACGCGAAGTGAAGTATCGTCAAGCCCGTCGTTAAATGCTCATCGGAATAAACGTAGCCGGTGTAATGTATAATATGTCATTCCGCTTTTTATAGAACCACTAATCGAGACATTGCCATTGCCGTGCCATATTTAATGCAGCCAATTTCTTTTGCAGCATCGGCCGTATGATCCTGACGAAGGCGCCATGGATCTTCGATCCTAATGGGGACAAGGACAGGCAGGATATCACTTCAATCTACAAAGCTAAAGAAGGTAGACATAAACACAGATTTTTTCGCGTTTCCGATATGCGATACGCGAAATCATTCGCGTAAATCCGCGATTGTGCAAGGAAAAACGACTGGATTCGTAGCTGAATTATTGTTGCTTGAGGTCCAGACAAAAAGTTCGCTTGTAGTCAAAGAAAGATTCTCGTAGGCAATGTTCAGTTATTGTTGACTCGGTAATCTTAAGTGAATTTCAGTGTAGCTAATTGTCTAGACAGATATTCCCGGTTTTCGCAATAATAAACGGATCGTCTCTCATTATCGAATTTACGTCTGATTTTGCTTAAAGATACAAAGACTTATCGAGTCGGTGCAAAGGGTATGTCGTATTTGCGAAATAAAATTAAGAACAAAATTATCTAATTTCTCGAAAGATTATTTGATTATTTTATATATTTTGATTATTTTGAACTTTTAAAATATTGAACAAAGATTTCCTACTCTTCTTTTAACACCCAATGTTCTATGAGAATAGAAAAAGAACAAACATTTTGCACCAGTCTGATTAGTTAGATAAACAGAATTGTTTTCCGTACGGTGACATCCGACGCAAATTAAATCTCACACGGTGGCTTGCTGTAACTTTTCCATCGAGAGCGCCTGGCGGAAATTTGCGCGCGACATACACACAATAGATTCGTTGAACATTTCTGACCGGCCTAGCTAGTGTTGTCTATTCGTCTTCTGATCTTGCCGTTCAATTTCTAGGCACCGAGGTCGAGCGATTGACTTTGTACAGGGCGGTGCGCAGTACCGAGATGGCCAAGAGGTTCTATTCGTTGCCATCGCCGGGTAAAGAAGACGTCGAGTTCGATCTCACCGAGCTCGAACGAGTGAACATTGGTGAGCCGTTCGCCGTGACCGTGAATATCAAGAACAAGTCCAGCGAATCGCGTACTATTCAGGCTATCTTGTCCGCCGGCAGCGTTTATTACACCGGGGTTAAGGCGCATCTGGTGAAGAGAGCGTCCGGAGACTTTGTGCTTCAACCGAACGCTGGTAAGAAACAGAGAGAGATAGAGAGAAAGAGAGAGAGGAGATCATTTTTCGCACGTTGGTTTTTTGCGTCGGTTTGACTAGAAAATAGATAAAGTTGCCGAATGCTTGCATGTGTGGCGAACGTAATGAAGAATACTAAATCAACAGCGTTTATAGCATTTCAATGCATGTCGCGACAGACATTATTGTAATCGCTAATGTTCCACGAGATTATCCAATGGCGATTGATTTACTTGGTTGATTTTACCGCTGGAATTCTTCGGAGACACGGGTTAACATCCAATGACTAATTGGCGAGTTAGTTAAGGAAAGAATTATATGTTTACTCTTAATTGCGACTTCTCATTATATATCATACAATATCATCGTGGGAATCAATATTCTCGCGACAATCAAATTCTGTAACACGCAATTGATATCTAAATTGCAACCTTATATTTTATTCATTACAGTCGAACAATTGAGACTCACGGTGACGGTGAACGATTACTTGGACAAGTTAGTGGAGTACTGTATCATGAAGCTGTATTGCATCGCCACGGTTAAGGAGACCCGCCAAACTTGGGCGGATGAAGACGATTTCCAAGTTTTGAAACCGAATATCGACGTTAAGGTACGGTAACGATAAATTAGTTCAAGATTTGGCAGAATGTTCAGCACATGCGCTGAACTTACTCGGAGAGCATAAACGTTTAAAAAACGTCTAACAAACTATTTACCAAGACTTAAATATTGTTTTTACGCTTTTTTCAGAGAGTCTATGAATGATCAATGCAAGATGATGCATGTTTAGAAAATATTTTACTTGTTTCAGACATGTCTTCGTGTTTCTAAGAGCGGTATTCGTAGTCGGATTTTATATAAAGTATATATACGTATGTAAGATATATAGGGTGAGGGAAAAATACTGGGACCCTGAAATATATCGAAAAACATAATTTTTATGAAAAAATGTTTCAGACAAAAGTTGTAGGGTTTTAAGTAACGCATTACATAGTAATATTAGTATGACCTTAAATAGCGTTGTCAAGGTCGCGTGAAGGTCATCTTAAATTTCTTAAATGAGACCCCCTATTTTTCATTACATATTCTTGTAGCTTATCACAAAGGTGTTCTTTCCAGAACACTATAATTGAATGTTTTTTCGTTAAGGATTTTGCGAGTTACAAGATTTAAAAGTTACAGTACCGCCGGCATTAGCATTACTCAAGGTGTACCGCGTGGAGGTTGTATGGTCAGATTTACACCCCTTTTATGCGCGCGTGTGTGTGTGTGTGTGTGTGTGTGTGTGTGTGTGTGTGTGTAAGGTGCACCATCGATTTTGCTATTTCCGTTTCTGCGATAATTTCCAATTTTAACATTAGATTGCCTCATTGTCAGACTGTTAATAGCCAGCAATTTGAGCATTTATTATGCATGTAAACGCTCAGAAACATGTAGCGGTATTTACGCACATTTAAATAAAAATATGTATGTATGTATGTACATGAGGGCACAAGTCGCGTGTCCGTGCGCGCGTGCGCGCGCGCACACACATACACGCACACAAACGAGGTATAAATCTAACCATACAACCTCCACGCAGTACACCTTGGGTAATGCTAATGCCGGCGTTACTGCAACTTTTAAGTCTTGTAACTTAAAAAGTACCTAACGAAAAAATATTTAGTTATAATATTCTGGAAAGCCCTCGAGATAAGCTACAAGAATATATAATGGAAAATAGGGGGTTCCATTTAAGAAATTTAGGATGACCTTCACGTTGACAACGCTATTCAAGGTCATACTAACATTGTTATGTAATGCGTTACTTGAAACCCTACAACTTTTGCCTGAAACATTTTTTTATAAAAATTATATTTTTCAATATATATCGGGATTCCGGTATTTTTTCCTCAACCTGTATATAAAATATATGCAGAGTGTCCCATTTTTAAAAACGCACCTCGATAATTCTTCAATGAAGCATTTTCAGTTAAAATGTTTCAGACAGAAGTTATAAAGGTCACTGGCGGCCATCGACCAGCAATCTTGAACTTGACCTTCAAGTTGACTTTCAAGGTCATGTCAAGGTCAACTATGATTTTTTAAATAGGAATTTTTGACCCTGGATTCAGAAAGAGCAGGAAATTCTACGTTCAGACATGTGATCATAACCCTAAGTTAAGTTACTACGGGGGGGGGGCATTTGAAGGTCAATAAGACGCCACTACCAAATGCCCATTGCAAATATCCTATTGTAAAAAATGTTTCGAATAGAAGTTGTAAAAATCATGGGAGCTGTTAGTTAGTGACCTTGAACTTGACCTTGGGTTCCATTTACAAGGTCATTTCAAGGTCCATTACAATTTTTTAAATGGGAACCCCTATTTTTTACTCCAGAAATGAAAAGAGCGAGAAATTTTACGTTCGGATATCTAGTAATCTCAATATGGAACGATGACCTTTAAAGGTCAAAAGCTCATACTTATTCAAACAGACGTTCTAAGGTTCTTTTTGGGACACATTTCATTAAGGATGTGGTTGTGGACTAAAGGTTTCAAATTCCGAGAGAGACGTCTAAAGATGATCTTGACCGTGACCTTGAAGTTCATTTTAAAGGTCATTTCATAGTGAAACTAGTTATTCAATTGTCATTTTGAAGGCCACTTCAAGGTCAGTCTAGTTGTTTAAATGGTTACTCTCTATTTCGATAGCGGAAGTGGGAAGACAAATTTTGCGTTCAGATATGTAGTTACCTCAGTGTAGAACGATAATTCATGGGAGTTATATTATCTCTCCAAATTGAATCTGGGCTCTTCCCTTCCAATAGTACGAATGATATAATTGTACATCCAATTGAAAAAAAGATATATATATTATATATACAGGGTGTCTAAAAAATACTACACCCCCCGGATAACTTTGCAGAATCAAATTTTCATGAAAAACTTTAAATACAAAAGTTGTAGAAAATCGAGTAACGGACTTGATGGTGACCTTGAATTTGACCTTGGCCATGACCTTCAAAGTCATTTGGAAGTCAACTTGAAAAATTTAAATACGAAACTCTATTTTTTATTACTGTTCTTTTTTCTACCAATTAATTTGAACAACTCTTGTCTAAAACATGTTTTTAGTTACCTAATATTTTTTGAGATATTTGAGGAAAACTTGATAACTTTTTCAATATTTAACTTATGATATCTCGCTATTTGTCGGAAGGAAAAGTGGTACGAGACTTTCTTGCTTTATTTAGTATCAAGAATATATTGTTACAATAGTGCCGTGATTTTTGTTAATATAATTATTTTAAAATTTCCAAAGATCGATAGGTTAATAAAAGTTAGGGCACTATGATAGTATCGGGTGAGTGCAAAAGTTCGTGCGGAGTTTGTGAGTAAAAGTCACACAGTGATTAGGCAAACAAAAATCTTTATTCAATCAATGATATATTCTCCATCGTTTTCTATAATCTTTTCCCAACGTTCTGACAGCATACGGATGCCTCGATCATAAAAACTGCACGGTTTAGATTCGAAGAACGAAGAGACGCCGTTTTTTAAGGCCTCCAAAGAGTCAAAGTTTTTTCCATTTAAATAATTTTGCAATGACCGGAACAAGTGATAGTCAGATGGTGCGATATCAGGAGAATACGGTGGATGCGTTAAGACATCCCATTTCAGGCTCTTCAGTTTGCGCAGCGTCTTTTTCGAAACGTGTGGTCTGGCGTTGTCGTGATGAAAGACGACTCCCTTGCGATTTGACAAAATCGGACGTTTCTCTTTTATTTCTCGATTCAGATTGGTTAATTGGCGACAGTACTTGTCCGAATCAATCGTTTCGCCAGCGGGGAGAAGCTCGAAATAGATTATGCCCTTGCAATCCCACCAAACAGAGAGCATCACCTTCATCGGGTGCAAACTGGCCTTTGGCATTGCGTCACCATGCTCACCTGATTGTTTCCATGTCCGTTTGCGCTGAACATTGTTGTAGAGGACCCATTTCTCATCGCCCGTCACTAGTCGATTCAAAAACGACTCGTTATTGAGCCGCCCGAGTAAAGAAACGGCTGCAGAAATTCGCTTGATTTTGTTCTTCTCGGTCAGCAAATGGGGCACCCATATATCGAGCTTCAAATCGAATCTCATCTTTTTTAAACGCCGAAAAGCGGTTGATCGGTCAACGTTTAGTGCTGTAGCAACTTCTTCTGTTGAAATTCGCGGATTATTGAGCACTAAAGTACGCAAAACATCGTCATCAATGTCAGAAGGTCGACCAGAGCGTGGCTCGTCTTCAAGGTTAAATTCTCCGCGCCGAAATTTAGCAAACCATTTTTCCACAGTTCGTTTAGCTGGTGCTTCATCCTGATAAACATCCTGAATGTTTTTTACGGCTGCGGCAACGTTTATTCCCTTCCGAAACTCGTAAAGCATAACATGCCGTAAATGCATCTTATCGATACTCATTTTTAAAGTGATATTTCTCGAAGCAGTTTGTATGAAAATAAATGATTTTTTTTTTAATAATAGCTGAAGACGTCACCTTTCCAACATTATATAATATGTGGATGGAAGTATTAATGACAACACTTTACGACGCTTATAACTCCATCTATTGAAACTCCGCACGAACTTTTGCACTCACCCAATAATATATTCTTGATAGTAAATAAAGTAAAAAAGTCTAATACTATTTTTTCTTTCGACGAATAGTTAGTGAGATATCGTAAGATAAATGTTGGAAAAGTTATCAAGTTTTCCTTAAATATCTCAAAATATATTAAGCAAATAAAAAAATGTTTCAGACAAAAGTTGTTTAAATTAATTGGTAGAAAAAGATGATATAATAAAAAATTGGGGTTTCCATTTAAGAAAATTGATAATTAGTAAATATCTCGAAAGTGGCGTCATCTATAAAAAAATGCTATCGCTGTCCCCCTTCAAGCTAAACAATTTTTGTCTTAAGCATTTTTCGATTTAACGCAGTGTTTCTGAGATATTTGAGTGGGCCCTTTAAAATTGAATACTCTGTATGTATATATATACATATATATATAAGTTCAAATTTGAATTAAAAGCATTATGGTTTTAGACATTATGGTTTAGCAGTATAGTTTAGACTTTCGCTGACTTTTGCTGTCTGTCGTTGACAATCATGGATTTCTTCTTGCTTCGTATTATAGATTGAAGGTGAACCGATGGTCGGGAAACCTTCGGTCATCACATTGAGCTTCAAGAACCCCTTAAAGACAACTTTAACTGACTGTCAGTTCAATTACGCCGGGCCTGGTCTCTCTAGAAACAAGACTTTGGCGTTCCGGGATGTTGGACCCGAAGAGGATGTTCACGTGGAACATCAGCTCGTGCCCCAGAAAGCCGGAGAACAAAAGATAATCGCCACTTTCACCTCGAAGCAGCTGGTTGACATCACCGGCTGCGCAACCGTTAACGTCCTTGACGCCGAGTGAGCGACTGGACACGCGAATGCAGCGGAACTTTGATTTTAATTCGGAGCAGGCGCATCCTGCTCGAATTGTCGCTTTATTCAAATTATTGTTTGAAATTGTAATAGCATCGCTAATAGCATTCTTGCAGGGACAGAAAGCTCATGCTAAAAATAAGCCAGAACAAGTTGTTGGTCGCTCGTGTTATAGACGTTAAGGATTGATCCAAGAGGTCTCGCAATGTCTACAAGCCGGATTTATATCTTTCTGTATTTCCATGTTTATACTTTTTTATATAGCATAAAACAAATAAAAATAACAAACTAATGCATAATAAGATCACAATCAAGATGAGACGTGTATGGTGAACGCATGTTTACTAGAACATAAAGCGAAATGTACGAAACGTTAATTCAGTAGAAATGTTAAAGAATGTGTTTTATTTTTGTGCCACTGTTAAAAAAAATGAACAAACGCGAACGACAATAATGCATTCGACATGATGCATTCCACACTGCAATATGTGAGAGAGGCCTCTTCTTTCTCGCTGAATTAGTGTACATGTTCAAAACTTGAAAGGAAAGAAATATGTAGTTAAAACTTAATGAGAGAAAGAGGAAAATAGAACTACAATGAAAACTAATATATGAGATGCAGCGAGAAAAAATCAACCAATGATTACAAGTCGAAGCTTTATGGCAATCACGGGAGTCATAGCATGGGAGTGGGATTGCATGTAAACAAATGTTGCAGGTACCAAAATACTAAGGAGCAGTAGACAAGAAGAACCAAGTATTCGCGCAAAATAACGGAGACGAGTTTGATCATTTTCTCGCTGCTCTGAGATCCTCTGTTTTCTATAAATTCCTCTAGCTTCAATTTCTCGAGCATATGATCAAGCGGTCGCATAAACGACCTTACATTCACGAGTACGAAGTCAGAGAGTATTTGCATCAGTTTCGTCAGTGTTTCCGTTTCGCGAAGAAATCTCGGGACAACTAGCATGATGAGTTCTAAAATTTTGCGGTTCCAACTGATACATGCAATCAGAATTTCGGCTGCTCGAGAAAAATGCAGCCAATTTGTTGAGGTTCCTGTTGCTTGCCATAATCAAACAACGCTCTTCGTTGCATTTCGATTTTGGCTTATCGTCGCTTTCGCAGTTCGGAAAGAAGACGCATCTGAGAATGCGGCATTGATTTTCATGGAGAGTACCGATGCCACGTGATCCTTGTTCGCTGTTGCTCTACACCATCTATGAACCTGCTTCCACATCAGGCTTTTCGTATACAGCGCAACGGAACCGTGAAAATTGAGAGCGTATTTTGTGGCTAATCGGAAGGCCGCTAGCACGTATACGTTGTTTACTTTCAGGTCCGGTGCAACTGCATCCTTGTCGGACGTCGCTCTAAGATATTTTAAAACGGCCAACGGGGTTCGATAGAGAATCGTTTGTACCCGTTCGTAACAATTTGCATTTTGTTTATATCTCAACCGGTTCGGAAATACGGCAATTTTCAGTTTCTGTCATATAACGCTAAAATGGTACTTCCGTTATTTTTTAAAATATCTTCAAACGGACAACGGGGTTCGATAGAGAATCGTTTGTACCCGTTTGTACCACTTTGCATTTCATTTGTACCTCAACCGTTTCGGAAATACAGCAATTTTCATTTTCTGTCATATAACGCTAAGAAGGTACTTCCGCTATTTTTTAAGATATCTTAAAACGGACAACGGGGTTCGATAGAGAATCGTTTGTACCCGTTTGTACCACTTTGCATTTCGTTTGTACCTCAACCGTTTCGGAAATACAACAATTTTCAGTTTCTGTCATATAACGCTAAAATGGTACTTCCGCTATTTTTTAAAATATCTTCAAACGGACAACGGGGTTTGATAGAGAATCGTTTGTACCCGTTTGTACCACTTTGCATTTCGTTTGTACCTCAATTGGTTCGGAAATGCAACATTTTTCGTTTTTCAAATAACATTAAAAATGTACTTCTGCTATTTTTTAAATATCTTAATATGGACAACGGGGTTCGATAGAGAATCGTTTCTACCCGTTTGTACCACTTTGTGTTTCGTTTGTAGCTCGACCGGTTCGGAAATACAGCATTATTCAATTTTTTTATTAATACTAAAATGGTACTTCCACCATCTTTTAAGATATCTTAAAATGGACAACGGGTTTCTTAGAGAATCGTTTGTACCTGTTTGTACCGCTTTTATTTTTTTGATATCGCTGGGGAAATCCATCATGGATACCCCCGACCCCTTGGGGGGATCGCGGGTTATGTCAGACTCTTACTGACTAAAACTCCTGCGGGATGTCTACCATTCGGGCCGAGGTGGGGGGTGTCAGGGGAACTGCTTCCGCATTCCCTCCCTGACGCCCCGGCCCCAGGGGTCTCCAAGAGCCCCTCGCCTCGAATACCGCGCCCTGTCCCACTCGGGGAGTCCAGGGTGCGGTCCCCCGACCGGTCCCCCCGCCGGGTTGGCCTTCTGGTTTATACTTGGTGGGAGGAGACATCCACCCTCCCTCCGTGCCCCCCTTACTCCCTCCGAAGAAGGAAGGGCGGAGGAGTGGAGCCCGTCCCTAAACGTGCTACCACTCCCCCATTTCCCACCCTGTCCGTGGCACGAGGGGAAAGTCGGATTAACTCATACTTCCCCCGCGAGTACGGAGACGGGCCCGAGGCGGCCGAGGGGGCCCCCGATTGACCGGGGGTCTCTCCTCGGCCAGCGCCACCTCGGGCTCTCTGCCCAGGCCCGATGAGCGCCGCCTATCCCGCCGCTCCCTGCAGCGGGTCCCAGGTCGGCGCTCCCACTCGGCGGCCTCCTTCTTGGACAACACGTCCCTGCAGAAGGAGGCCGCCGCCCCCTATACCTCCTTGCTCCCGCACTTGGGCCATCCGTTTATACCGCTTTGCATTTCGTTTGTACCTCAACCGGTTCGGAAATACATCATTTTTCAAATTTTTCAAATAACTCTAAAATGGTATTTACTCTATTTTTTTATATATGTTAAAATGGACAACGGGGTTCGATAGAGAATCGTTTGTACCTGTTTATACCACTCTGCATTTCGTTTGTACCTCAACCGGTTCGGAGATACAGTAATTTTCAGTTTCTGTCATATAACGCTAAAATGGTACTTCCGATATTTTTTAAGATATCTTAAAACGGGCAACGGGGTTCGATAGAGAATCGTTTATACCCGTTTGTACCGCTTTTCATTTCGTTTGTACCTCGACCGATTCGGAAATACAGCATTTTTCAATTTTTCAAATAACGCTAAAATGGTACTTCCGCTATTCTTTAAGATATCTTAAAACGGACGACAGGGTTCCATAGAGAACCGTTTGTACCCGTTTGTACCACTTTGCATTTCGTTTGTACCTCAACTGGTTCAGAAATACAGCATCTTTCAGTTTCTTTCATATAACGCTAAAATGGTACTTCCGTTATTTTTGAAGATATCTTAAAACGGTTAACGGGGTTCGATAAAGAATCGTTTGTACCATTTTGCATTTCGTTTGTACCTCAACCGGTTCGGAAATACAGCATTTTTCCGTTTTTTTCATATAATGCTATAATGGTTCTTTCGGTAACTTGTAATACAGTACTGCACGTCCTCGAAAATTTTCTGGCGGGAATCTAGAAGTTTCTCATTCCTTCAGTTTTCGGACGTTCGTATCCGGATCACATGATAACCGGAAAGATATTCATAATTTCTGGCGGGTTTCTTTTTGTTTTTTTTATCTCTCAGGTGAGACCCCTTATGGGTATCCCTGGATCCTGGGGGGGGGGTCCAGGGGTTATGTGAGACTCACACCCACTAAAACACCTGGGGGACACCGTGCGGAGGATGCTCTGCGGAGGCAGGAATGCTGCCGCACTGCTTCTAAGGACCGCCGCACCCTATGGCCCATCGAAATGAGCCCCTCCTAGGTGCCGCGCGCCGCGGGACTTATCCAGGGGAGAAGGTTAGGGGTGAAAGTGAGAGGCGCCGTTGACTTGTAAGCCTCGGGTCCTCAATCGCCGTTCCGTCTATGCCCCGTCCTCGCGTCCTCACAGCCCATCCGGAAGGGAAAGGTACAGCTTGTTAATTGATCCTATGCTAACTATATATCCCTATCTATATAAACGCGATAGGGTTCGGGCCTCCTTTACCACCGTCCCGGATAGGGAGCGCTTCGTCCCATGTGATGTGACGCGCGACGCCGGCGGGGCGAGTGTAACTTCGCCCTGCCGGCCAGTACTGCACCGGGCTGACGAGGGAGTGGGATGTTCTGAGAACATCGAGGGAAACAGGGCCCGGTCCCCACCGTGTTATCCTGTTCCCCCAGATCTCCTCTGTCGCCCATGGGAGGGAGTAAACTCATCCCCCCCAGGGTAATACACACCGGTGAGGAGAGAAGACTCCACCCCGTCCACGACAGGAGAGATCCCCGCCCGCGTTGCCAACGCGGGGGGGGAACCTTTATCAGTCAGGTCGTGCAGTGGCCCCGAGAGCCCGATATAGAGGAGACAAGACCCCCCTCTAACGGAGGGGGCCGTGCCCCCTCCCGCGGAACTCCCGGGACTGACCCATACCTACGGGCGCGTCACCGCGCCCGCCTCCGCCGTCTCACCGACGGCAGCCTCAACCCCCCCCTAGATGTAGGCGCAGAAACGCGCCCGCCCCCAACGAGTCCCTCGTTGGGGGGGGGGGCGGCCGCGACGGCGCTCTCTGTGCCCACCGCCCCCCTTCGTTTGAGAGGCCAGCCTGTTGGCCTGTTGGATGGACCTGCCTAGCGAGGCTAGCAGAGAGGCCAGCTCTGGCACACCGCGCAGTAAGGTGCTGATTTGCACGATTGCGCGGTGTACCATACCCGCCCCAGCTACACCTAAAGGCACAGACCGCTGCGGTCTTCCGCAGCGGTGCAGTTCGCCCTGGTGTGGCCAGGGCCCCAGCAGCGAAAACACTGGGGCGACCTGGTTGCCAGCAAGGTAACACTGACGGTCGACCACCCTAGTGTAAAGCTGCCTTCCCTGGCGGCCTTGATAGAAGCCGCCAAGGGAAGGCGCGACCATACTACTCTGACGGGTTTCTTTTGGAAAATTCTAGAATCTCTTGGAACATTCCAGAAAATTTCAGTAGTTTCTAAAACGTTATAGAATCTTGTAGAATAGTATGGAATTTTTTAAAATATATTGGACTCTTCTTGAAAATCTTATAAAGTTTTTTAGAATATTCTAGAATCTTCTAAAATACTTTGGGAGCTTTTAGAACATTCTTGAACATTCTAAAAATTAAAAAAAATATCTAAAATATTCTAGAATAGAAGATTCTTGAATAGAAGATTTTAGACATAAAATTCTAGAAGATTCTAGAACGTTCTAGAAGTTTCCGGTATATTGGGAAAGATTCTAGAATATTCAAAATGTCCCAGAATGTTCTAGAAAAGTTGAGAATATTTTAGGAGCTTGTAGCAGAGAGGAAGCTGAGAGCGGCCAACACGGCGTTTTCGGCGACACCGATTTTTCGCACTGGGAATGGGCGCTATTTGCATCCATTTTGAGAGGGGAACTACGATGCTACATCCACTTTTAGGTCTCGACGGTAAAAC